AAGAAAAAGAAAGTGCAAGCTCCTCAAGCTCCTCTTTGCCAGTAGAGGGCACGCAATCTTCACAAAACTGCTGCACACACCTCTGCAGCTCGGCCCTTGGGGCCCTTTCTCCAGCAGCAGCTTGCACTGAGCTAGGATGTGCGGATGATCCTGGGAGAGCTGGCCCGTTGTGTTATGTTTGGCTCCCCTTGCAAGTCTGCAGCTGAAAAAATACATTCTGGTAATGTTTCCATGTGCACATTTTCTCTCATTGCTTCAGGGTGAGAAAAATGACTCGTGACAAGAACAACGGAGATACAGAGGTAGGAAASGAGCTCCGTTTTAATATGCAGTTCATGCACTGGAAACATGTAACCGCTTTATAAAAAGGATGTGGGTTGTAAAGGGACACCAAGGTGGCAACAAGGGGAGACAGAGGTAGAGGTGCAATACTGAGATGGAGAACATTAAGTATCATTCTCACTTTTCTTTCTCTACATGGCAGAATAGCATCTGGACCAGCAAAATCACAGCACCAGGACAGAGGCAGAAAACCTTCTAATTGTGCTGTAAGAGGGCTAAGAAACTTTCATCAGTGTGGGCTTTTAAAAACTGTCAAAAAAAAGGTCTCTCGGGGTGTTCTGAACCACCTTTCAAGGTACCTTTCCTGATATAGGTACATTTATGGGTCATACATCAAAATCAGATCATCTGTAGCCTGTTGACTCCAACTCCAGTTACTGCCTGGAGTTGTGCACTCTGTGCACTCATAGACAAAATTTATTCTTTAGGCCAGATTCTGGAACCTCAGCTATTTCAGATTTGTCAGGACTCTTTCTTTTGCCTTTTAGCCCCAGGACACTAAAAGCCTTGGAGTTTCCTCCTGTGCCTTAGCTAAAGTTGTTCTGATTTTCTGGAGCCTCCTTGACAACAATAATTTGCCCATCCCTTATCCCTTCTCTGCAGCTTTAGTTAACTTCACTGGTCCTTCTCCAGCATTCCTGGTACAGGTATTTTCACTCTTACATATTTAAGGCAGACTTTTGTCCAATTCCACCAGCCTTTATGCCTTTTTCTAGTACTAAGTAATTTTTTTTAGCATAATTTTCTCAAGGTGTCCTTTGTATCCTAGGGACACCACAGGCTATTRCACCTTAATATGCATCCTACAAGTTCCTTCAGCTGCCTTCCACGTGGATCATAATTCTTCTTTTGGCTGTTTCTAATGCTGTAATCTTCTAAATACAGTTTTTTCTGGCATCTCCCAAAGTGCTTGGAAAAACTGGCTTTGTTTTGGCAATTGAACTTTAAAGCTAAGTAATCCATGCAGGCATAACCAGAAATAGCTATGRCATGGCAATAATTTGAATTTTGAACAAGTGATTTACAAGTTTTTCTTGCAAAGAGCTCTTCTGACAGTGGTGGGAGTCCATATAAACCCACAGCAGTGCAAGACCTGATCATCACAGATCTCCCTGGGAATGGTACTTCACTTTGAGCATTGCACTGAAGCAGGAGTCATTTCCTCTGACTGTAAAATGTAGCTCTGTCCTAGGGTGAAACACAGCAGGGTAACTGTAATAGCCTAGGAAGGAGAACTCTTCTCTCAGTGAGACTGGACACACTGTCAGGCAAATGAAATGTCATTCCCTTAGCTAAACAGAGCACTGATTTTTTGTGAAAAGTGAAATGACTTAGCGTTTCCTTTTTGTTTTGTTTTGGTTTGGCTGCTGCACATCACAGGTGCACATGAACAAGAACCAGATTATAGAGAACCTATAGGTTGGGACTGCCTTCTGGAGCGCCACTGGGATCCCTGTGCCCAGCCRGCTGGCCACGCTCACGCTGACGCAGCCCGATACGCAGCTGCCCTTTGTCACAAGGGCCCCTGTTGAGCCAGGTTCGTGTTCATGCTCCTGAGGACCCCAGGTCGGTCTTGCAGCCTTTCTATGCAGTTGGCAGCCAGCCTGCACGGGCGCACCAGGCTATTCCCTGCCCGTGCAGGACTTTGCATTCGCCTCTGCTGATGAACTTCACTGAMCTGCTTTGCAACCACACGCGTAAGCAATAGGTGGCACTAATAAGTGATAGGGATTGGGTCGTCCCTGAGCACGCAGCCAAAGAGGAAGTCGGTGGTGGAGACTGCAGGCTGCGTTGCTCGGAGCTGCTCRAGTGGAGAAGGAGAAGGAGCAGACATGTGGCAGGAGGTCCTTCCCAACGCCTGGTGAGAGCCCCACGGCACCGGGAGCCAGGGACAGAGCATGGCGTGCCGCTAGGCTGGGGCCGGGGTGGGACAAAGCCCTGCAGGGTAAGCCAGGCTTAGCTAGGCCACCAGAAAATGCTGGGAATATCCCACTGATTTTTCACAGCTGTAACTATGGAAGAGATTATCCTGGACCGTGTCACTCAGCGAGCTGGCTCTCCGACACGCTTGTTTTGTTGGCAGTTCTGGGCTAGTGTTATGGCCGTGGTGCCAGGTTTTGTGCCTCTCGTTAGTTAAACTCCAGGATGCAAGTGCAGGTAGGTGTTAGTACCAGTTGCATAAGCTGCCCTGCCTACAAGGAAGTGGAGGCTGACAGTGTTTGCTCTAGGGAGCCCTCTTCCCCCTGGCTGGGAGCACTTTAAGGAAATATCTCCTCACACTTCACACCAGAGCTGTTGCAGAGCGAGTTACCAAAGGGCCTCAGCGCCTGCCCGGCACTGCATGCTGTGCCAGGGGCCATGTGGGGAAATGACACGAGGTGAGAAAAACCAGCCAGCAGACTCGGGTTTTCGTCATGGAGATTCATGTCCTTTGGGAGGTTTTTGTATGTGTTTGTTTTGTCTCTGGATATCTTAATTATGACACCACACAGCTGCCAGCATTAGCTGCTTTCCATGGCATGAGATACCAAGACTTTCCCTCGTTGCTTCTAATAAATCTAGATTTCTAACTGCTTTTCCGAGAAGACAATCTATTAGGCTACGAGAGAACCGAGGAGGACATTTTGTTTTTCCCGCAGGGGAGAGGAGCTTAAAGTTAAGTATCTAGTCAGGAGTAGTTAGGAGTAGCAAAGGCCCAGCGCTTGAGTAAACACTGCTCAGGTAAAGGTCCCGCGAGCTTCTCCTAATCAGCCCTTTGGCACCAGCACAGCACGACCAGCAGCAGAATGACCCTTGATCTTGAAAGGCCCCTGCCAGACGTGCAGATCTATCCCTTTACAGTGATCAAAATAAACGACTTTCTTGGCTGGAGTAACACAGTTGCTCGCAGGTTGAAACACTGCAAGGACGTTACCCAGTTGTCTAGGGTCTCTTATCTAAATTGTGCTGCAGGAGGGAGTGTTATGGAAACAAACTACCTAGTTAAAATATAGCAAAGAAATGCTCCTTTTGTGCAGAATCCCTGTCCTGAGGCCCTCTCCTTCTGTCTCATCCAAAAGTAGAAGCAAACTTCCAGATGCCTCCAGGTGGCTAAACTGGCTGTGATCCCATGGCTGTGCATGGTTGTGCATCCCATGGTGCAGGCAGACAACAGTGTTTGCAGTGTCCCCAGGGATCGGTACCAGTCAGCACTGCCAGGCTGAAAGAATCTTCATTTCTGCTTTTTGTTTTTTTTTTGTAGGGAGAGCATCTTGTCCCGGATCAGGTGAGTGAAGCAGCTGGTCTGTGCCGAGGCCTCCACTTTTCTTCAGACCCTTCAGTGGGGCACAGCATAGTCCTTTCCCTACCCTGCATGACAACAACAAAATCTTCGTTTATAGTCTCTCACAGCCTCCTGCCACAGGCTCATCCCCGAGGGAAACTGGAGAGCTTGACACAGAGCTCAGAGGGAGGGGAAGTACACCTCATTTGTCACTGGTTGATTGAGCATCTAAACCATTTTGAAATGTCCTTCAGGTTAAAATCAGCTTCCAGCCCAGAAGAAAGTGTGAAACTTGACTGTCTAGAAAAGAAATAGGAGCATCAAAGACGTAACCTGGCACCTGTGGAACACAATCATGAAGGGCCAGGGTTACCCTAAAAGATGTTTGAATCTGTAGAGGAGCTATGTATAAAGTGCTATTTAAGAGGGGCAGGTCCCACACCTCTCTTTTTCCAGAGACTGAGGGCCCTTCTCTCTGCACTTTCTCCATTCTGGCTTTGCAGTTTCTTTTCATGGAGCATTCCAGCTGCTACCATCCCAGTCATTGCCAATATCCTATTCAGTCCTGTTCCCCCGAAATATYCCATAGAGAAGGAGCCTGCTAGTTCACAAGGAGAGGACTAAAGAAACCTTTTGATTAGCAAGTAATGATCAACAYGGACTTGAGCTCCTCTAATTAGCAATGTCAGAGGTAACTTTGAGGCTTTGGGACTGTTAATGTGAAAGTTTGTGGAACTGGCTACTCAGGGGGGAGAGGCTCCAAATTTTCGAAAGYAACAGCAATCCCCAGCCCGTGTTGATTGCTTGGGGTTTCTGGGCATTCCTTACCATGCAGGTCCAACCAGGGTGAATACAAGTCTTTGCATAGCCCCAATACCCTGACACTTTCATTGTTGCATTTTATAATTTTACACCTCCCTAGGTCTTTTGAATTTTCTCAGAAGAAGGGAGTCCTGCTCCCTGCAGCTGCCCTGGGGGTTGGAGGGATGCTGCTTTGCTGGATGATGTCTAGACGYAAGATGAAGACTCTTGAAATGGGTGATGGATGGTGGGGCACAGGTGAAAAAAAACTAAAAGAAGATGAAAGAATACGGCCCTTCCGGATTGAAACATCTGACAAAGAAATTCAGGTACCCATGGCCGGGATGTGGGGAGGGGCAGGAAGCTGTGAGGTGGAGCCAGTTCACCTCCATCTCACCGCTTGAAGATGATGTCTTAGGGATATCACCACTGTGCTCATACTCTAGTATGAGCACCTGCCACCGTTAGTTGATACACTGCATAAGCATCATTTATGAAGCAGATGAGAGTTCAAATCCCTCGTATTGTCCCATAGATCTTGTTTCCAAGATCACAGACCCTATGTGCAACCTGTAGCTGCTCCCAGCAGAAGCCTACACTTTCATCAGTAGACTTTTACAGTGGGTCTGAGGATGGTGAAGCAGGGTGGGAAGGTTTAGGGAGAGCAGTGGGGCACATGGACGTCTTTAGTAAAGGGGAGGCCTGGAAGAGTGGAGAGATGAAGCTTTACTGAGTCTCAGCATCTCTGTCTCCAGCCAACTAGCTCAACTAGCTGGGACTGAGCTTCAGAAATACCCACTCTTTGATCCCCACTTCTTATTCTCTTCCCATCCAGCAGTGCCAGAACGCTCCTAGCACCAAAAAGCCTACATAGCAAGTTATCAGAAGGGCAAGAGTAGGACCTCAGTACTCCCGCCTGCCTTGTATAAACTGATAACTTATAAAAAAGTATATTCCTCATATAAATGACTGAGGAGGGTGTGCAGAGCGTGCAACTTCTTTAGCAAGGCTCTCCGTGTATGAGGCAATGGAGTAAAAGCCAGCAGAGGTGCAGGACGCTGCCCACGAGCACTTGTGTCCTGGTGCACAAGCATGCAGGCACCTGGCCAGCCRTGCAAGAGCAGCGTGTGCCTCTCTCTGCAGGACCTGCACCACCGCCTCGACCAGGCCCGCTACACGCCGCCGCTCGAGGGGGCTGCCTTCCACTATGGCTTCAACTCAGACTACCTGCAGAAGGTGGTCGCCTACTGGAGGAACCAGTTTGACTGGCGCAAGCAAGTGGAGATCCTGAACAAATATCCTCATTTCCAAACCACCATCGAAGGTGAGGGCGTCTCTGCAGTTCATGTGAGTCTTGTACATGAGGCACTTAGAGACGTAGATTAGCAGGCATGGTGTGAAGGGGTTTGCAGTTGGACTTGATGATCTTGAASGTCTTTTCCATCCATAAGAATTCTATAATACGCCTCCCCGTAACATCTCAGTGGCCTGTCCAGTTGGTCACAGATTGCCCAAATTGCCTTGTCCTCACAACTGCTGTTTCGCTGTGCACCTTCAAAGTCCCTGCTCGCTGTGCCCCTRCAAATGGCACATTTGGGATAAGTGAATACCAGCCTGAAGAGATTGCCCCGTGCTCTGAAACACTTTGTTCTGAAGCTTACTGAGGAAAGCCAGGGGGATTTCAGGTGTTAGAATATTTAACATAACACTATGCATAATAGAGCTGAGTGATAATGAGTGAAATATCATTAGTGTAGGTTGTATTATTGCTAACTTTGTATACATTAAGACCATTTAAAATTGGCAATATGAGTCTGCATCAGAACAGAGTACCTTTGGCATTGARTTTGTCCTCATGATACCACCTTGAAACTACCCTTGAAAATTGCCAAATTTACCCAAACTCTTAGACTAGGTGCTTTCCCCCTCTCCCTCACTAGTTTAGCCAGGTTATCTTAGCTAGCCTTTAGATAAGTGATTTTCAGGTAAAACTTGTATATTCTACTTTCTTTTCAATGTTTCACTTTTTATGAACCATATGATTTGTTCATGTTTTTGCATATGTCTTAAGAGCAGCACTACGTATTTCTATAAAASCAGTTCCTCAGGAGAAGCATTCTTAACCTCTTGTGACCCACATAGCTGGGACTCAGATACATATCCCTGCTTATATATGGAAGAGCAGACATAGGTGCAGTAGGAGGCACAGTATCCACGTTCAGATAGGCAGCTATTTCTCAGCAGTTGGTCATGTAATTTCTGCTTTAAAAACTAGTTAGAATTTTTCCTCCCTCCTTCTTGAAGGTCCAGAACAGAAACCTGAGGTTTCATTTACCTGTTTTGAATTTCTGGCAGGGATCGATATCCATTTTATCCACGTGAAGCCTCCCCACRTCTCTCCTGGCCAAACTGTTTATCCCCTGTTGATGGTGCATGGCTGGCCCGGCTCCTTCTATGAGTTCTACAAGATCATCCCTCTGCTCACGGAGCCGGCCCAGCACGGCCTCGGTGAGGACGACGTTGTGTTTGAGGTCATCTGCCCATCCATCCCAGGCTACGGCTTCTCAGAGGCACCTCACCAGAAAGGTAAGTGATGAAAAGGCTCTGCTGGAGTCACAAGAGTATTGAAGTAACCCTCCTGCCATCAGTGGACCCTTCGGCCTAGCAGTTTGAGGATGCAGGAGGGCACATTCTGGGTTTTTCTCAAGTTCAGTGAACTTAACTCTGCACTAATGCATAGAAGCCTGGTGTCTTGTCTCTARTTGTAAAATGAGAAATGGTTGGCTCCTCTCGACATTGTTATCAGCATGTGTCCTTGGTGTGAGATTAGGACTGCCAGCTCATCTTACACAAATTGCTAAACCCTCTGAAAATCTCTCTGAAGACTTGTGCCCCCACACAGATGGGTTCAACCTACTCTGTCATTCTCCCAGCAAGTCTCTATAACATGTATCACTTCCCCAGGGCAGTTTCCTACAGCCAGAAAAGCCACAAAAGGGCTTTCTGTGTCCAAAGCCCTCTGGCTCCCTGCACTGACACGGCCAAGGTCGTGGGACCTGGCACTGTGGAGATTTAGCCCGTAGGAGTAGCTGAAAGCCAAGGTCACCTTCTCCTTTCTCCTCTTCCCATTGAATTTATACTGTCTCGTGTTCCCTGTAGTCAGAGAGGCAGGGAGGCCAGCAAAGCACTCCGTGCCCTTGGCATTACTCAGCAGCACAACACTGATGTGCCCCTATCAAAACCTCCATCTCTATTCAGCAAACGCGCATTAGGACAAAAGGCTTCCTGTACAGTTTTTCTCTTTACCTGCAGGGTTTGACACCGTAGCAGCTGCTCGGATATTTCACAAGCTGATGAAAAGGCTGGGCTTCAAGGAGTACTACCTACAGGGAGGAGACTGGGGGGCTCAAATTACTACCAACATGGCCCAGATGCTGCCACAGTGAGTAACAGCAGCAGCAAGCACAGAACAGTGGCCTTCAGCTCTATCCTATCTTCTCACTGCAGAGCCCCCATCCTCCCTCTCATCCTTTCCCCTCTGTGTCCTCCAGGGACATCTCCAACCTTGTGCATTTAATTATGCTCATATGCTTTATATTGATATTGGCTCATTTTTCAGGCTTCCTAAATTTCACTGTTATTTGGCATCTGCACTAGCTGCAAAGCAAACTCTCTTGCATTTAGACTTGAAAACTCGAGGCAAATCTCTATTCAAATTCAGGAAGGAGAGAGATTAAGAAATTTAAAACTTGCAGGGAGAGAGGAAGGGAGGGAGCTCACTTTTCAGCACCTGAACAGTACCAGCACAGCAMTTCCCTATCTGAGATGTGGAGCTGAAAGTGGCTGACCAAAAAGAAACAAAACACCTACCTTAGAAGATCACATCACAGCTCACTGCTTAGCATTTAATTAAAAGTATGCACCACAACCATGCTTAAGCCAGAAAACAGATCAAGGGGGAAAGCTCCTCATGTTGTTAGATTGCAAGCAGAGCTCTGGATTGCAATTATGCTTTGCAGCACTCCTGTGTGTGATCTAGTATTTCCATCACACTACTTCAGAAAGCACCCAATGCAGCTTGATTACCTACAGCACATCATGGTGCCACATCCATAAAACTGAGTGCTTAATATTAACATCATTGCAATGGCATGGCTGGATAGAGGTGGCACCAACTGTGCTATTTCTAGCACCTTCTATATTTTTTAAATAATAAAAACCTGAACAATTTTTAATGTATTTGGTTCAGTGAAATACTTCTAACACAACTCCAGTCAGATAATTTTCTAGAAAATCTGAAAACAGAAACTCTTTAAAAAAAAAAAAACACAACTCTTTTTTTCCCTATTAATGTGATTTAGGTCTGTGAAAGGACTTCATCTGAACGTCGTCTTCATAATTACATACAGTTTGAGGATGTTTTTGTCTGTGATGATTGGGGCTTATGTACCATGGCTTGTAGGCTTCACCAGAGAAGATGCTCGTCGTATGTACCCTTTTGTCCAGAAGAACATACATTACATTTTGCGAGAATCTGGATACCTACACCTCCAAGCCACCAAACCAGACACTGCAGGTAATGAACCCATGATGGAGATTCTGCAGATATTACTTTTCAGACTCCTTAAAATGGTGTATGGCTTTTCGTGGCCTAAAGATCACCTCATCATAAAGCCACCTAAGTGAAGCACATACCTTGAAAGTGAAGGTATTTTTAAAAATGAAAGTGGGTGAAAATGAGAAAATCATAAACAAATGCAATGTGAAATTGCAAAAAGACAGATTCAGCCCTAATACTTTGAAAGTAGGAGRCCTGTTGGAGCTGCTGAGGTCAATATAAAAAGGCTCTCAAGAAAGATATGACCATCTCAGAAGAGTTACCAAGCGTAGGGGTAGTAATCCCTCATCAGGGAAGACAGGGGGGCTGTCTCAGACTGAAGTGGCACTTGTGGAGTCCTTGGGAAAAATAGCCTCATCCTGGGAAGTCCCTGAGACGTTCAAAAATAACTCAGAAACTGACGATCAGATTGTTGCTTGACCTGATCTCAGCAGCAAAGGAATAGTAGGAGGTAAATGAGATACCAGTTTAAGAGCTGAGAGTGGAGGGGAGGCGAGTGCAGGAAAAAAAATATAAACTGGTTTGTCTAGTCACCATGATAGGCAAAGTAGCAGAACTATTCTAAAGGAKGAAGAGTTGAGTCACAGGTGATGATAAGGTCACAGGGAAGRGCCAAAATGGTTTTGTAGAAAGAAATCATGTTTCACAGGTCAAAGTTCTGGCAGAATYAAAGAGCAGTAGCATATCTGGATTTCCAAGCAATTTTTTAATCAAGATCTCTCCAAAAGTTCTTAAAGAATAAAAGTGYCTTAGGAAAAAGGATTAACATCATGGATTTATGAATAGTTAACATAAGAATCTAAGTATAGGAATAAGTGTCCAGACTTCAGTGGAGGGAAGAGTATCACAAAAATCTCTGCTGGGACCTGGGCATTTCAACATAATCTGTATTTCTTTAGAGCAGAAGTTAACTATTAAGGGAAAAATCTGTCAGATTTCCAGGACACAGATTAATCTGAAGCTAACTGGAGAGAGTTGCAAAATCTGGTTGATTAGGAGTGACTGTTTGATTAGAAAGGCCAATAAAAAAATGATGTCAACAAAGTGCAAAGTAATTTAAACAGAAGAAAAGCTCATTTAAAAAAAAATATAAAAAAGAACAAGGGCCCCAGAAGATCTGAAAATGTTTATTGCTGGTGGGTCATGCACTAGATAACATGTTTCAGCTTGACCTAGAGCCAGGCAAAGCCTTCACATAGCTTATAACCTATAATAATTGACTCTGGGCTTGCCAATGCAGGGAAAGGGTTAGCCATGTTCACTATTAACCAAAACTTTTTTGTGCATGGTCTTCCACAAGGTTACTCAATGCTAAAGTTGCGTGCAAATACACCTGAGATAATATGCTGTAACAAAAACTGCAGCACACAGGGTACTGCACTTTTCCCCAAGACAAGTCTCCACCGCTATCTGGGCAATTACTAGGTGTTTTATAGGTAAGAACATGTGGATGATATGCTACACACATGCTAGGTCTCTGTCTATTAATGTTCCCCAAGAGCATGCAGTTGTCTGCTGCACAGCACTTCTCATCTTTAAAAATAGAGGGTGATGAAACAGCACTCAGGGGCTTGGTTATCCATCCTAACCAGGCCAGCGCTCTCAAATAGCTTACCTGAAATCTTTTTAGTGYGTAACACCTTTATGTGGTGCTTCTTCCATGCAATCACCAGGAAMCTGGCAGGACTTGCTTAACTCCTAAGCTCTCCAGGAGGGAAACTGCCAAAGGTAGGAGTGCTGTCAGTTGCAGCCTCAACTCCTTCGGGGCAAATTTGTGAAGAAAAGAAGTAGGACCAATAAAACAAACTCATTGCTCAGTTATCATACAAAAACTTTCAAGAACTCTTAAGAACCCAGTTTTGCTTTAACTGAAGTACTGCAATGCCATGCAAATACAAGAATTCTCTTTTCTCCTGAATTAGGTTGTGGATTGAATGACTCCCCTGTGGGGCTTGCTGCATACATTTTGGAGAAATTCTCTACCTGGACCAATAGATCTTTTGTTCGAAAGGATGACGGAGGCTTGGAAAGGTAAGAAAACAGATGCTCTTTCATGAGAAGACTTTAAAAAGGTGATGGCAACTAATGAGGAGATGGAAAAACAGATTTGCCAGCTTAAATTGACTCTAAAAGACAAAAGATTGCACATGACAAGGAGCAGTTCTAAATTAAAATAGACTGTCTGCAAGTACTGCTTCAGCACCAGGCAGTTTTGCTCCAGCCACACAGATGCCACTTAACTTCCTGCTTGAAAATTAGTGTAAAACAGCAGAACTTCTGTGCATGAACCCACTATTGTATACTGAGAAAGAGCTTTGAACAAAACGTGTTTCTTTTTCCCCTCAACAGCAAATACTCTCTCGATGACCTCCTGACCAATGTGATGATTTACTGGGTGACCTCCTCCATCGTATCCTCAGTGCGTTTCTACAAGGAGAACTTCTCCAGGAATATCACTGATCTTCAGAGGTAACTAAGTGGCAGGTTCAGGATAGATTTGCAAGAGAAATTGGGTTTGGACATTTGCGCGTTTAGGCATCTAAATCACTTGCAACAAAGTTAACTCATTTAAAAAAAACAGGTTCTTATTTTATCTTGATAAGTATAAAGGCCACTTTCCTTTTGAACCTGTACCACGCATAAGCTGGCTTGCTGCCAATGCAATGCAGAACATCTTAAAAGATTCATAATCATTTTTGTTCAGAATAGAGGTATGAAGCAAGATAAGCTTAAAAACTCAATATGTTTAAAGTTGTTAAGGTACAAGGCCAGCTCTRTTTTACATATATTTAGATAGAACAGATTTTTAAGCTCAAAGAGACCCAAATACAAGCAGAGCACCTGAGCTGTGTACAGGCCACAAATGAGCTGCTGTAGTGAAACTTCTCCCACTCACTGTGAGTTACAGGCACCAGTAGGATTTCATAGGCTTTCCCTAGGAATTGCCTTTTAAAAGATGCAGCTAACCAATGTTTTTTCAGGTACAGTGTACACGTTCCCACTGGGGTTGCAGCCTTTCCTGAGGAGCTGGCACATACACCACGCACCTGGGCGAAGAAGAAATTAAAGAACATCGTTAGCTACACTTACATGCCGCGTGGGGGGCACTTTGCTGCCTTTGAAGAGCCGAGGCTCCTGGCCCAAGACATCAGGCAGTTTGTCAGGAAGGTGGAGCAGCTGTGAGCCTGCAGCTGAAGCGGGGCACGCTGCTCTGCTGCCGCCAGGAGCGCTGCTGGGAGGGATTAAAGAAATCCACATACAGAACACACACATACAGAAGCCAGCATTTTATTTTGATGGGAATGATTATAGCTACTAAACTTGGTAATTAAGCACTAAAGCTCTTCGTAAGAAAAAGCCTCTTGTCTTCTTTCATTCCTAGCACCTTATTATTGTTGCATTCAAAGTTCAAGTATAACAGAATATRTAAACAGTTTAATGCAATAACATTGCACTCATTTAAGAGAGGGAGGGGAACGGGTCTAGCTCCTTGTTCCTCAGAATCCAGGCTTCTCTTCAAAAGCTTCTTTAAATATTTGAGTGCCAGCATTCTTACATTCCTAAAGATGCATTCTGGGGTAAGTAGAGGGCTTTAATTTCCTGAGCACAACAAACACTGCACCTGCCCAAGCTGCATTTCCTTCAGGGCACCTGTGAGGGCACACACAGAGGCAGGCAGCTGCAAACAAGCTGCATACAATGCTGCACACAAGGCAGCTTTTCAGCAATTCCTCTGTGCTAGCAGTTTCTCTGCTAGCTTTAGCAGTCACTACATCTTTGTGCACAGCTGACAATGGATAGCAAGGCAGAGACAGCACTCCCAGTGTTCTCCAAGCTCAAAAATATCAGCTTAACTACCTTCCTTCCAGTCCTATAATCTTAYTCTAGTCCAAAAGGTCAGACAGTTAATAAAAATAACAGTAAGTGCAGAYGGTTATTTCCTCCTTTATCTCATTTCAACAGATCTTCTACTATCCCAAGCGACACTTAGTGCTAGTAAGAAGCTACAGGCAACCTCACTGCCAGTAGCCTGCAGTTTTAAGCAGGAAAGATGCATCTAGAGCTGTTAAACTCACTGCATTGCAGGTTGATACCAGCTGATTCAAGACTACTTCAGTGGACATTAGTTCAAGAGTGTGCTCTGAGGTCTCTCTCTTTGTCCCATTCTGCCCAAGACAGCAGATGTGGCACAGAAGAAACAGCTCAAGTTCCACCTGCAGGTAACACGGGGCCTTCTGATTTGGGGCAAGAATTTCACAGTTAAAGGAGTGCTGAAGCTGATCACATCCACCTTGTCTCTTCCCACATTCCAGCAAGGCTTACAGTCCAGGACTCTAACATTTTGTAAAAGCAGGCAAGAACTGATTTTTTTTTTTTAACTGAGAATAAACCAGCATGATGGGGCAGGAGTCCTATGTTCCTCTGCACAGCACAAGGATAAAAATTGCTTCCTCTTGATTTTAACTGTATAACAAATTATCAGGGCTGTCTTTTAGTAAAGAGACACCAAAAGGTGCTTTCCTGCCTCCACGGGACAGCTTAACCTCTTTTTCCAAGGCTAGGTATGAAATCTCCCAGTTGCTGAGAAGTCTTGCTCTTTGGATGATAAACTAGTCAAAAGGGAATTAGGGGAGGTCTCGTTTTATCAAGGAAGTGGCAAACACTAGAGTACTCAAATCTGATCCAACTGCAGGGAAAGATCTCCTTTCCCAGCAGTGGAATACATTAGAATTGTTACATCCTTTATGGCAAACCCTGGAAAGSCCAGCTGCAGTAATAATCATGTGCATTATTTAAAGCCAAAAAAACAATTTGCTGAAGTAGCAATTATTGATAGAGGAATTGCTGCATCAAAACTCAGCATTTTTCTCAGGAGAGAAAACACTGTATCCAGTATTTGCCAGGCCAATAAGTACACTGCGATGAAGTTCTACTCCCAGCACAAGTTTGTCTCCTTTGCCACAGCTGAGGTCCCCAAAGAATGTGCAACTGTGCCTTAAAGGATATTTGCTTTCTGTATCAATTCCATACAGAGAAGAGTGTTACAGCTGTTTCACAACAAGATGAACACTGTCCAGCTACAGAGAGACAGTTGATGCCCTGGAGAAGAGATCCAGAAAGACAAGAATATGCAATTACGCCTGCTAAAATAGTCACCACCCAAAGCAGCACCAAAAAGGTTACTCGATAATTCATTAAAATCCTATAAAGCCCAAATCATTCATGAAACCCCTTGAGTGTCACTGGTGCTTGAAACCATATGTAATCCTCCCAGTCACAGGCCACGGCCTGAGGACATGAGGCACTGACGTCTCCATCGGAGGACAAGCTGACCGTGAGTTTCCGTCCTCGAGTGGGCACTTTGTAGTTGAGCTTGGGCCGGAACCACTCAGCCCCACAGTCGCGGTGTCCTTGCAGCATAACCACGGTGCCCACGGCAGGGAGCACCTTCAGTTCGCTGAAGACGTCGGCAACGAAGAGCGAGTGGAAGAGCTTTCGCAGGCAAAAGGGGGTTTCCAGGCTCTCCTCGGCGCTGCCCACGCAGACGCCCTCCAAGTTGAGCTCATAGAGCTCCTTGGGGCTCATGGCATTGCCACCAAGCAGGATGAGAACGCGGGGAACCAGCGTCAAGCGGAACATCACTTCCAAGTGCTGCAGCACCCCCTCCAGCTCCAGCAGCACCTGCTGGCACCTCTTGCTTGCCGTGTCCACGGAGGGCGGCTTCTTAATCACATCTCCATCCTACGGGGTGGGAAAAGAAGTAGAGAGAAAAAATAAGAAGGTCTTAACGTGTTCTTTAGAAAGTGAGGTACATCCTTTCTGCACTACTCCAAGAAGGCTGGGCAAGGTCGGTTACCTAAGAAAGGCCTAGATAGGCCCATGTGAAATCAGGAGAGGAGAGGAATATAAAAGGACACTCTGATTCAAGCTGCTGAGCTTGAATGTGCACCAGGCTACTTTAAAAAAAAAAATCCCAAGAGGATTAGAAACACCATCATTCAAAGGAGGGACACCACCCCGAAGCCACATCAAGAGGCACACAGCACCGGGCCCGCGTGAGCGGCGGRCGCAGAGCAGCGCGGGGCAGGGCGGGACGCAGGGGGACACGGAGCGGCACTCGGGGCCTGTAGCTGCCAGCCCCACGTGAGCGCGGCCCGCTCGGCCGGGCCCGCGGGGACGCCGCAGGGGCCGGGACGGAGCGGCCGGCCCGGCCCGGGAGC